AAATTTAATCATATTACGATATATATAAATATTTATATCAAATGTTAGTACAAACTAATTAATAAATAAATTATCATACGTCACATTTTGAAAATATTATTGCACCTCATGACATTATATATTGTAGGGTGACATGAATTACAAATAAAACATGAAAGTGTTATGAATTGCAATAATGAATACTTTAAAACATGAATTATGAGATAAACAAATAGTAATAAAACAGTATTAAATATATGTGTATACTTTTTTCAAAATAAAATAAAATAAATGTCTATATTGGTAACAAATAAATGGTATTATTCGTTTTGAAGAATACAATTAAAATTATAATTATGCTCTCCCTAGAATTTATTCCAGTTATAGCGATCTGATATGTTGATATAATCATACCTACAATAATCGTGACTTGAGTAACTAAAACTTTTTTTTTTAAAAGTACAAATATTAGAGCCTACGAGCTGCTAATATAGAGATATTAATCATTAGCCTAGCCCACCAATTTTTACGCACCATAGGATCAAAATCAGTCTTACACTTGTCAAGCAAACCAAGCACATATGATTGATATCTTCTCATTTCTGAATAATCATTTCGAAGCACTGCTCGATACGCACCTTCAAGATATTTCTCCACGCCGTTGCACGTTGCAAGGCAAGTACGAAGCTTAGCCTTGGCCAGAGGATTATCTGCCCTGGGAATAAAATCATCTCTGATTAGAGCAATTGTTATTTTGGAGTTGTACAATGCATTGAAAGCTGCTATTTTCGCAATGGTCGTGATTTCAGTATGGGGTTGGTCGAGTTTAGAGATGATTGAACGTTCGCAGTAATACGCGTTCACGGTCTCGAGGCATATACTGTCGATTAGAATCATTGTTGGTGCGTCTGGTGAGATCGATGTGGTTGATGGGATTGTGTAGAGAAAGATCAAAGATGTGATCATCACGGAGAGTCGTTGGCTAAAAGCCATTTGTTTTCTTTTATAAATATTTCTGATAAATTTTTTTGTGTTCACTCTTGAGAAAATAAAAGAAGACACACTTATATAAGATTATGTCTGTTTTTAAGGACTTGCCAGATGAGTTCTGTTTCTGTAAATGACTTGCCAGATAAGTTGATCTTTTTTTTAAAACAAAGTTTGACTAGATCGGACGTTGGTACATTTATCACTTTTTTTACGCAGTTTCCTTATGACTACTAGAGTATGGTCTCACTTTTCATTTTCTATAACCTCACGTATATTTCTTGTTTCTTGCACAAAAAGATACGATATAAATTAAATCGTAGGTGATATATTAAGCTCTTTACTTTTTTTTTCCCCCTTCTTGTTACGCCTTAATTAATGTCTAGAAACAGCATATTTATATGCTTTAACAACAACAAAAAAAAAACAGCATATACATGAATCGGTCTTATACGTATTAAAGAGACCATTATAGTCGTCATTTTCGGACGATTAAGAGTCGAAAAGGTTGTTGGTTTCCGAAAGATTCAACCCTTTAGGTTGATTAAAATTCGTTTAAAAATTTTTAATCAAGCTATCATTATTTGATTAAAAATCAAAATAGATATTTTTTGAAGAAAAGTGTGAAAAAGAAAAAAGGAAAGAAAAAATCTCAGTGGGGCCCAAAACAGAAGACGTGGCACCAACTCGTGGATTCAGCGTCACATCCGTGTGACTCGTTGCGAGAGGAAGTCACGATCTTATATATATAAAAACCAAACCCATCTCTCAGATCATATCTAGATCGTCTTTCTCCAATCCAATCCATAACTTGCGAAAATCTGAAAGGTACAAAACTATTTTCATTCCTTATTTCTATTTGATCTCTGTCCCAAAGCATACTGGTTCTTGATTAATATTCCATGAGTTCCCAGTTTCTTGATAAACCTGAGATTTTCAGTTTCTTGGTGGACTTTTTGTTTTGTCTCACGTTCTTATCTACCGAATGGATCTGAATCTTGAACTGATTCTGTCTTAGCTTCTTTGTTACTTTGATTGTTTATTGGTTGAGTCAAATCCTAGGCTTCCTCCGAGTCCTTGATTTGGAGGTTTGAGTATATTCTTGATCATTTTTTTTAAATAACATTTCAACGAATGCTCTTGCTTACTTGTATTGTATATACAGAAATAATCAAAAAGATTAATTCTTAAGTTATTGTTTGTATTATTGGGATATCTCAGCGACAGAAAGTTTGTGCTAAATATGCTATGGTTTTAGAATATGCTATGTTTTTGTTTTTGTTGCTGTCACGGGCGTAAATGATATGGTGACACGAATTTGTTCATTTTCTAGTCGTCGGTTCAGTTACACATTTCAGAGACTAGTGACCAAATTTTTGAAATAAAACAAATATATAACGTTTTAAATCTTGGACTAGCAGAGTCGTGGTTTTTTTGCAAATGGTCTGGTTTCTTTCCGGCTCGATGGCTAGCAGCGACCGCAATCGTGGTTGAGATTTAAAAGGTTGTTACAATAAAAAAAGGTTTTCTTTTGTGTACCAGGGTCTTATGTCATCGAACGAAGAAAATGTCAAGAAAGAGAAACTTCATCTAAAAATGAAAACGCAGGAATTGGATCCAAACGAGAAGGGAGAGAAGGTTGAGTTGGAGATGGAAGTGAAGGCGAAGTCAATAGAGAAGCTTAAAACAAAGAACGAGGGAAAGAGTGGCGGGAAATCAAACAAGGAAATGGAAAAAGAAAAAATAAAGGGCAAGAATGATCACTTGGAGGTTGAAGAAGGCAAACATGACAAGAAGGAAGATGAAAAAAAGAGTTCTAAAAAAGGGAAACATGAAGAAGCCCATGGAGATATAGAGGTTACACACAGTGATGTAAAAGTGGAAGAGCAAGAGAAGGAACAGAAGAAGAAAAAGAAAGATAAAGAGAAGAAATATGAGAATGTATCACAAGGAAAGGAGCAGTCCGAAGAAGAAGGTAAGAAGAAAGAGAAGGATGAATCAGGTTTCAAAGACAAAAAGAAGGTGGATAAAGAGAAGAAACCGAAAGAAGAATCCAATAGTAAAGAAGACAAGAAGATGAAAGGTAAGGAACTGAATGGTGAAGATAAAGGAATGAAGAAAGAGAAGAAAGAAGATGATGTAACCGATGAAAAGATAAACGAAGAAGAAAATGATCATAAGGAGGGAAAGAAAAAGAAGGACAAAAAGAAAGATGAATCAGGTGCAGAGGAAAAAAAGAAGAAAAAGGACAAAGAGAAGAAACCGAAAGAAGAATCCAAGAGTAAGGAAGACAAGAAGATGAAAAAGGGAGTGAAGGATGAGCCTGAGGAAGAAGATAAAGGAAAGAAGAAGAAAGAGAAGAAAGAAGAAGATAATGAGGAGGGAAAGAAAAACAAGAACAAAGATAAGGCAAAGAAGAAGGAAACAGATGAGGTATGTGAGAAAGAAGCTGAAAGTGAGACTAAAGGAGAAAAGAAACAGAAAAAGGAAAGAGACCAGAAGAAAGACAAGGATGAAAAAGATAACAAAAAGGACAAGAATAAGGAGAAAACTCTTGAAACTGAAGTGTTGTCCAGAGATATTGAGTTGGAAGAAAAAGAAGCTGAGGGAGAGGAAGGCAAGCTGAAAGACAAGACGAATAAGAATAGAAAAGACGAGGAGGAAGAAAATGATAATGAAGAGAAGAAGAAATCTAAAGGAGAAGGCGGAGAGGCTGATCAGGAAGGGAAGAAAAAAAAGAAGAAAGGTAAAGAGAAGAACAAGAAAAAAGAATCAAAGGAAACGAAAAAGACAGAGGATGAAGAAGAGAAGAAATCTCATACTGAAGTTGAGGCGAAAGATGTCAAAATAGTAGGATCAAATTCTGAAAATGGT